TCCTGGGTTCAAGCAATTCTCCGGCCTCAGCCTCCCGAGTAGCTGGGACTACAGGCATGCACCATCATGCCCAGCTAATTTTTGTATTTTTAGTAGAGACGGGGTTTCACCTTGTTGACCAGGATGGTCTCGATCTCTTGACCTCGTGATCCACCCGCCTCAGCCTCCCAAAGTGCTGGGATTACAGGCTTGAGCCACCGCGCCCGGCGAATGTAATATTTCTTAACATTTAACTTTATCTCTGAGCTTTTCCTTTGACATCAAGGAAGCCCTTTTTTATGTAACACCTATCAACAATCCACATAATTTGTACAACATTGTTATCAAATGTAAATGAATCTACAAAATCGTTTTCTTTCTTTTTCCTTTTTTTAAAGAGATATTATTGAGAAACAACTTATTATACTAATAACCCCTAGAAAACATATCTGCCATACATTTAATTCCGAGAACCAAATTGCAAATAGGTTATTACAATTTTACAATTTACTAATTGCTGATTGTTACTAGGCATTAATCTTTTTTTTGGTGCTGTGACTCGGATTTTTTTTTTTTTTTTTTTTTTTTACGGGGGCTCACTCTCTTTCTTTTTTTTTTTTTTTTGAGACAGAGTGTCCTTCTGTCACTCAGACTGGAGTACTGTGGCATGATCTTGGTTCACTGCAACCTCCAACTCCTGGATTCAAGAGATTCTCCTGCCTCAGCCTCCCGAGTAGCTGGGATTACAGGATGCCCACCATCACGCCCAGCTAATTTTTATATTTTTAGTAGAGATGGGGTTTTACAATGTTGGCCAGGCTGGTCTTGAACTCCTGACCTCAGGTGATCCACCCACCTCAGCCTCCCAAAGTACTGGGATTACAAGCATGAGCCACCACGCCTGGCTAGTTAATCTTAAATCTAACTGCTTACCTACTATATCCTCATGTGCAGCCAACCAGATTTTTACAAAATTCCACAATAATCCAGTTTCAAATATCCAAAGTTAATCATTTCCGCTTTCATGATTGGTTATATTCTGATTTTTACAACTGTAATAAAACTAATAGGTATCAAAGAATATCATCCAAACATCTATAAAATATTAGATTATCAGGAAAACTACTGGGAAAAAAATATTTTTCATTTTAAAGAGACTTTTAGAAAATTAAAATATAAACTATATAATCATTTCCATAAAATATAAGAGTAAATTACTTACTGTTGTGTGATGTATAACACATTCACCAGGGTATCGTCATTCATTAATCTGAATTTATTCATAGCTAAATTATGAAGAGTAAGAAATTGAGGATGGTCTCTGACATACTCCACATTTTTTACCACGCTGGTCTTCTGCTTTTGAAGCTTCCAAAGCATATTAAATGCACATCCCACTTGCTGTTCTGAAAGTATAGCTTTGTTTCTTTCAATAAAATCAAATATTTGCTCCTCATCTGTACACTTATTCATCTGAATAATTAGCGGTTCACAACTGATGGGTCGAAACTGAAACACTCTCCAGGGGAATGGACAAATAGCTCTTAGACGAAGCATGCTTGTAACCAATCAGTCTAGGAAAACAGGTGTTTTTTCATTTACATCACAAATTTTCTTAGGTAAACAAAACTATCTTCAATAGTCTCAAGTGCAATAAGCAGAGATACAAAGAACTGTTTTTCCTTCATGTATTTTGCTTGCATTACAAGGACAGTAAACTCATTCCAATGTACAGCTTCTATAAAAGAATTAGTTTGACATTGTTATGCTTACATTATTAATATCAAAATAATTCAAAAATTCACATTAAAGTAATACGTTTTATCTGCATTAACTAAATACTTTTTCTTAGTTTAAACCAGATAGCAGAATTTGAATTTGATCCAAAAATAAATGTCCAGAAAAAGAGGCTTTTTTCTGCACCCCATTTTAAAAGTGTTTTAAGTCTCACATTCACATAAAATTTTCAAATTTACCACAAAAGGAAAAAAAAAAGCCCACAAACTCGAGCTGTCTTTTTGAAAAACAGGAAAATTGTTTAAAATAATCACCTTTAAAGTTTCTAAAAAGTGTAGGCATTAATTCAGAGCCATATATATATGTTAGTTAGTTAGTTAGTTAGTTAGTTAGTTAGTTATTTTTAGATGGAGTTTCACTCTTGTTACCCAGGCTGGAGTGCAATGGCGCGATCTCGGCTCACCGCAACCTCCGCCTCCTGGGTTCAGGCAATTCTCCTGCCTCAACCTCCTCAGTAGCTGGGATTAC